TGTTTAAATGTTTTGTTGCTGTATTGCCGACAGGTAATTTCAAATACGTTTACTTTAAGTTTAACATACTGTCCCACTTTACCTGAAAAAATGGTGACCCAGTTTCTAATATATCCTAAATAAAACTATATTCACTACAATTTTAGCAGATTTATATGTAAAAGGTTTGTGACAAAAAAAGTATATACACCAATCAGGCATAAATTAATGACCACCTCCTTGTTTCTACGCTCATTGTCCATTTTATCAGCTCCACTTACTGTATAGGTGCACTTTGTAGTTCTACAGTTACAGACTGTAGTCCATCTGTTTCTCTGATACTTTGTTAGCCCCCTTTTACCCTGTTCTTCAGTGGTCAGGACCCCCATGGACCCTCACAGAGCAGGTACTATTTGGGTGGTGGGTCATTCTCAGCACTGCAGTAACACTGACGTGGTGGTGGTGTGTTAGTGTGTGTTGTGCTGGTCTGAGTGGATCAGTCACAGCAGTGCTGCTGCAGTCACCTCAGTGTCACTGCTGGACTGAGAATAGTCCACCAACCAAATATATCCAGCCAACAGTGTCCTGTGGGCAGCGTCCTGTGACCACTGATGAAGGACTAGAGGATGACCAACACAAACTGTGCAGCAGCAGATGAGCTATCGTCTCTGACTTCACATCTACAAGGTGGACTGACAAGGTAGGAGTGTCTAATAGAGTGGACAGTGAGTGGAAACTCCAGCAGCACTGCTGTCTGATCCACTTGTACCAGCGCAACACACACTAACACACCACCACCACGTCAGTGTTACTGCAGTGCTGAGAATGATTCACCACCCAAACAGTACCTGCTCTGTGAGGGTCCATGGGGGTCCTGACCACTGAAGAACAAGGGGGCTAACAAAGTATGGACTACAGTCTGTAACTGTAGAACTACAAAGTGCACCTATATAGTAAGTGGAGCTGATAAAATGGACAATGAGCGTAGAAACAAGGAGGTGGTCAGAATGTTATGCCTGATCGCACCAACAGTGCTGGTGATGGAAACAGCCTGGTACACAGTGTAAGGTGGCAACCAGAAACCAAAGGGAAAATCATACGTCCTGCTGAAATCACCACTTCAAAAGATGTACAGACACAAAACCAGTCCAAAGTGGCTAAACCCACCTGCTTAGAGACGAAACGGCAAGGACAGTCATGACCCTGGTCGTGCCACCGGCTACCGGCCATGACCCAGATGGAAGCAGTGCCAACAACACGAAATGAAAACACTGTGTCATTGTTTGAATAAAGAACAATCGCCACTTGATCAATTCCACATTTTGTCCTGCCCTTCAAACTCATTTCGCACTGTGTGCACAAAACTTGTGTTTGAGTTGATGATTCCATCAAAAATTCAGTACTAAGGACACAGAGAGCCTGACTATATACACCCACACAAACACAAACCCACTGCTTAACCCAGTAATGCTGTACTAGTCACTCTCCAGTCCACACAGACAACATGGAAACTGAGCTGCAATTGGGTCATTCTACAGAAACGTCCACTTTTCTATCTCTCCACAGGAGTCACTGGTGTTACTGATCCTCATTGGTGTTACACATAATAAAGGAAACACCAGAGACATTTTAATGAACAATGCATTTTACAAAATGGCTGCTACAGAGCATCAAACCACATTGTCAGTCATGGAATATCCACTAAAATATGTAATTTAATCCATTTGTATTCTATTTTTTCACAGTTACCTCAGAATAAAGTCGGTCACACCAGTGACGTCAGCTAAAAGCTTCATATGAAATCATGAGCTAAATGAGAAAATCTCTGATAACTGAAAGACACAGTGGACTCACCATGTGCTTTTCTTCATAGATCCTCAGAAAACAGGTAAAAGGAAGTCAAGTGATGTCATCAGTGTGACTTTTATTTCAAAATAAGAGATTTTTTGTTACGCAGTAACACCAGTGACACGACTCCTGGGGAACTTTCATTATATATTTTAGAATATTTGTTTGCCATTTGTTTTCTTTATGTTATTTAAATCATATATTTCACAGTCATGTATAGGTTATAGTTAAAATAGCAGAAAAACATGGTTTTTACCTCAAAATAGGTCACTCACCCTTTACACGAGTGTGAGGACGAGCTCTTCTGTGGTGCTTGGAATTCTATACAATTGATTTAAAAATCAATATTGCTAAATTGAGGCTCAAGGAGGTGTAGTTGTTAAAATAACTTGTTGTTTTATTTTAAAATATAACTAAATTGTAACCCTAAAATGTTTTGAAGCTAGGGACACAAAAATGGACATTTCCATAGAATGACTCAAAAACAGCCTGCTAGTTGAACTAGTGATGTCACGAAAATCAGTGCTTTTATACAATACACACATTTGCCTTTTCCATCTACAGCAGTTTGGCGCTGCTCATTCACACTGAAGTTATAAAGAGTGTTTCAAACTTGACTGCTTTTTGAGCGAGACAAAATACAGGGCAGCTAATGAGAACAAAACCTCGTATCTCCAAAACTGAAACTTTACAGGACCAGGAGAAAATATTCTTAACTTAAACATTCTTAATTTAAGTTAATGCAACAATTTTTTTCCAAGTAATTTTGAAGCATTTCAACTGGTCCGTTCTTCATGACTTTTTACACATCTCAAAAGGTAACTGGAGGTTTCAAATTATGCACAAAAAAAGGAAAAAATGACAAAGTGGAGAAACCAGGGTTTTTGTGCAACAGTAATGATACATCAGTCTTAGATGCCCAGTAACAAAAACAGACTGTGTAATTCTACAGTAGTAGAAAATACACACAGTACAGGTACTTTTTGCCCACCAAGGTACAAGTTATGTACTCTCATTATAAAATACAGTATGATCCTTAAGGTCCAACTGTGCACCTTAAATGGGTTTTAAAGCTCCACTGCATTTATTTTACCAGAGGAAAAGGGGCAGAAATCTACGGAGCCCCACTGGTGACATCCAGTATAAATAAAAATAATGCATGGCCATGACTCAGTAAGGCATGGGAACGAGATCCTAATGTGTGGCCACAACGTAATTGTTTACTAATTATGTGAGACATGATCACATTCCCACGCCTTACTAATTTGTGGGCACGACTTAGATGGATGGATGGATACTTTATTGATCCCGAAGGAAATTTAGCAGCCGGTATCAGTCAAACAACACAGGACAGTTATAATAATAAGGTACAATATAAAAAGAAGAATATATAAGAAAAACCTCTCTACAGGCATAGATACAACTACAAATATACAAAAATATGCAATAAGATCTATAAGCTGAGATAAAAAAGGCAGTGCAGTAATGACTGTACGAGGAGGCGCAGGTAACAGCATATAATGACAAATACTAAATAAATAAATATGTGCATATAATGGTACTGAGATAAAGTGTCTAGGTGTGGAGTGTCCAGACGTGCAAGATGTGCAATAAGGTGTGCATTAGGATCTCGTTCCCATGCGTTAATAAGACGTGGCCACACATTATTTTTATTTAAATGGGATGTCACCAGAAGGGCTCCATATAAATCAATGGAATGTGGTAGAATTATATTCCATAACTAAAAGGGCACCAATCAACTTCAGTACCTTTCAGTTATGGGCAATATGGCAATATTTTATCATTATAAAACCTGTATTATCATAATAAATAATAAATTCCTGAGAATATCCTAGATATCATCAGTTCTTAAAGAACACTGACCAACTGCCTGTTTCACTACAAAGAGAGCACAGTTGGTCCTGTTTAATTAGCAGTGCGGCATGTGAAATTAATAATAATAATTATTATATTCATAGTTTTAACAGTAGCTTTCAAATGTGACACTACTAGTGCATTTTGTCTGTGTATCAAAATATCTTGATATGCATCTTGTATCGTGAAAACGTCTTAATGTATGCCTGATACACTATTTTTTTCATATCGCCCATTCTTAAGTACACGCAGGGCTGGGTGATTCATCCAATTTTGTTTTTAATTATGATTTTGGCTTCCGGCAATTATAAAAAAAAACAAGATAATCGAGACAAATTGATTACTGTGCTGCATTCCGTTTCACAATGATGCTCTTGTTTTGTCTTGTGTTGTAAATCCAGTGCTTCACTTTCCTGTACAGCAGTCTCCCTAAAAGCTCATCCCATTTATTTTGGTCTAATTTATTTTTACTTATTATTTTGATATGTTTAGTAGTTTTCAGTAGGTTGTGGAGGTGCACTACAACATAGTTGATCTTGTTTATTTTTATTATTTTTATATTATTTATTCAAATGTATATAATAATATATTACATTTTTTTTTTTACATTTTTTATTTGTTTTGTCAGTTGAATTATATTTAAAGTTCAAGGAAATCCACTGTTAAAAAAGACAAGTGTTATTTATTTTTTTAAAGTTCAATAAATGCATGAAGCTTCCACAGTTAATGAGTAATTGTGTTAATAATAATAATAATAATAATTTTTATTTATATAGCACTTTTTATGCTGGTGGCAGCTCAAAGTGCTTTTCAGACAGGTGATAAAACATAGTTATACAAGAAATCATTAGTATTTATAAATAATCGTGATTATAATTTTCCCCCTAGTTACAATACAGCACTTTTTTCTGAGAATGTGAGGAATAAAGAGAGGCTGGAAAATTACCAGGTAAAAATTATTAACGATTATCTGCTCATAAACATCACATAAACATCATACGTGGATAAAAATATTACAAGAACAATACAGGATATGGGCCAAAGTGGTCCTCCCTCCCTCCCCCAGCCCTCTCATGGCCTTTCTATGTCCAGCCAGAGTCTAAAAGCCAGAGTTCCTGTCGTTTAGCCACAGCAGCTAGCAGACCAGCTCAGAAGCAGCTGGAAGGCTGTGGCTGCGATGGAGCCGAGAGGACCTGCAACAATAACATTCTTCCCAGCTTTGGTCACAGCCTAACAGCGAGCAACACCCACAGCCACACAGCCAGAGGAGCACAGAGGCAGAAAGCGACTTCACTTACGCGCACCGGCGGTTTTCAGGCGGGCTTCATTCTTATTTCCCTTGCTGGGGTTCGAGCCGGGCCCGGGCACTGAACGGCACCGCGAGTCCTCCGTCTGTCTGCCTGCCTGCCTCTCTCTTTCTCTCCCTCCCTACGCCCCCTCAGCTAAACTCTCCGCTGCTCTTCCCCTCCCTCTGCTCCTCTCTTTCCTACCCTCCCTCTCTCCCTCCCTCCCTCCCTCTCTCTTTCCCTCTCCACCCCGCGCCTTAGCGCTTTAAAGCAACTTTATTGAGCTGACAGTATCTACACCGCACCATGATACACGTAAGGTGGGTAATCCAGGTCCAAAGAATAAAAAACCCTCCCCAGGATTTTGTTCCAACTGCCTGAACTCCTTTGCTGCTGGTTTGAGCAAAGGAGAGGAGTCGAGCGGTTGGAACAAAAACCTGGGGAGGATTTACACTTTTCGGACCTGGATTACCCACCTCTACAAACAGGTCGCCTTTGCGTCAGTCATATTATCCAGCGTAAACAGAGCTGGGGCGCTCCCTCCGCCGACTCGCGCTGACCAAAGCACGCCGTGACGTCACCGAGGGGCGGGAGAAAGGGCCTTAAGCCGCACCCACGCGGCGTTCCTATTCGCTAACGGGGAGCTCACACACCCATCGCTCCTCCCTCGAGCTCGCCTCCCATTGGCTGAGCTCCCTGAGCGGACTCTGCCGAAAGCGTGGATTGCCTCACAGGCCAACAATTCCTGCTGACAAAAACTGGGTGGGGTGGGAGTCCGAGAGGGAGAAGGGAGAGAGTTTGGCCAAAGAAATCCCTCGGTCAGAGGAATGTTCCACATTAGCAGCTCCGTGAGGCTCATTATCACGTCATACGCGAGATTTACTCGAGAAAACGTGTTTATTAACGTTCTGCATGTTGGTTCTCCTGCCAAATCTCTCAGGGGGGAGCAAGGATGCCTGTTGACATTTGGACATTTGGCATAAACAAAGATTTCTCTTTTTTACTTCACTGATCCCGAAGGAAATTCAGCAGCCAGTATCACTCACACAACACAGGACAGTTATGATAATAAGGGGGGTACAATATAAAAAGAAGAATATATACTACAAACTTCTGTACAGGCATATATACAAATAGAAATATACAAAATATGCAATAAGATCTATAAGCTGAGATAAAAAAGGCAGTGCAGTAATGACTGTAGGAGGAGGCGCAGGTAACAGCATATAATGACAATACTGAATAAATATGTGCATATAATGGTACTGAAATAAAGTGTCTAGGTGTCGAGTGTCCAGATGTGCAAGATGTGCGATAAGGTGTGCATTAGGATCTCATTCCCACGCGTTAATAAGGTGTGGCCACACATTATTTTTATTTATATGGGATGTCACCAGCAGGGCTCCATATAAATCAATGGAATGTGGTAGAATTATATTCCATAACTAAAAGGGCACCAATCAACTTCAGTCCCTTTTAGTTAGGGCAATATGACAATATTTTGTTATTATAAGAATCTGTATTATCATGATAAATAATTCATTTCTGATACGCAAGATTTACTCAAGAAAATATATTCTAGCTTGTTCGTTAATGTTTATATACATAAATCTCCAGTCTAGATTTTATGGTAATATTTGCCACCCTGCCTAACAGGCATGAAATTTAAATGCAAATGAGAAAATGTTTACCATTAACCTCACTCATAATTTTTAATCTTCTTGGAGCTCAAGAAGCAGAACCAGCCTGACCGCGCAGCCAGCAATATATGCGCTGTTTGAAAACAACTTTCAGGCGATGAAAGTTGCATAACACATGATGTCATCGGGAACAACTTTTAGGTGGGGTGGCCTCGGATCTGAGGATTAGAATCCGTGCCTGCTTTCCAGCATCAAACTAGCACACGTGTCTGAAGGGTTAGGGATTAAGGAGTGCCAAAAAACATTCGTTTATGATGGCAAATTAAGATCCTCGCTTGCCTGTTTCTCTCTCTCTACAGTTTGCAGTTAAAATAGTCACTGCTAGAGGGACAAAATATTAAAAGTAACGGCATCGCTGGAAGGGATTAGGCAGTGAACATCAATCAGTGCTTTAAGCTGCAGGATTGACTCCACTGCTCTGTGCAGCGGCGTCCAGCTACTAGATTAACGCCCACACCTTCCACTAACGCCACTGACCCCCTGCCTCCACACACCATCAGACACGTCTGCAGACAGATTCATCACAGACAGATTGCATAATCCTCCCAGGGATAGTCTTTTATAGTGATTAGAGGAGTTTGATAGATTAGGATTGGGTCTAAGAACACATCAGGGCATGTAGTACAGAATTTCATGTCACAAACAGTTTCGGCTCCAAAAAAACAGTGAACACCCACAAATCTTGCCGTTGTCACTTGACATAAACAAAGCTGTAACTGGACTGGGCTTGTTTATGTTTTTATGCATACATATGAAGCCACTGGTGCAAATTTGGTGGTGGTGGTGGTGGGGGGGGGGTGCGACGAGGGGGACATCCCCCTCCACTAAATCTCCCACCAGTCATATTGCATTGTTATTTCAAGCAAGTCTGAAAATGCACTGTGCTGTGCCAAAGAGTCTGCCAGTGTGCAGCAGCACTTAGTGAAGCAGGTAGCCTAACAGCTTTACTACGTTTTATTTGTTTTAACATAACATGATTATTGTCTGTCTATACCAAAAAGTATCCACATATGTAATTCACCTTCATAATAAAATAATAAAATAATAACATCTCGTTATATCATCAGCATCACATACAATTTTTCCTGTAAGAAATACATTTAAATGACAATAGGCTATGGTTGCTAAGCAACAGAACAGTCAAGGATTTGTCCATGGAGAGCACAATGGTGTTTAATATCTTGCCGTATCATTAGAGTTTATAGGTGCTTATATCAAATATTTTACTACGTGGTTCAGCCAATCAGATTACAGAAACGATGCTCAGCCTCATGTTCACCAATGAGCCCTTTGTTTTTTGCTCAAACAAGAATGATTGTTGTTGTAGAAAGATCTATTAAATATGGTAAGTAATTAAAAAATAAGAAAGAAAACGTTTCTTATTTCCCAAAACTTATGAAAACTTGTTTATTAAAACATTTTTAAAGTTAGTTGTCCCCATTTTAATGCGTAGTGTCTGTACTGGTTGCATGAACATGTATTTCCCACTGGACACTTGTCCTGTTTCAGCATTAAGCCTCGTCTACAAAAGTCACCTCCTCCCGTACTGTGGTTAAATCTATGAAAGCTTAATACTCCCCAAATCTCCAGAGGCTTAGTTATTGCACGGGACAGCAGTTTATGGAATTGCATTAGGTCAATTTGAAATAAAGCGTAATTAAGACACAAGTCCACTCCTCTCTGCTCAGACACAGCCTGCAGGCCTCTCCTCTTACGTAATACTGTGTCATGAAGATTGCGAGGGAAAAATGACTCAACAGAGCCGAGTCCCAGGACGCCACAAGGCACAAGACAGAGAGGGAGGTGGGGGGAGGAGAGAGAGTGGCCTGAAGAGGATGGGGTTTGACCTTGGTGGTATGTTACGCAAAAATGCATCCTAGACGTTTCCTTCCATGACCTCATGGTTCATCATTTTTATGGATTAATAAAGAGAATTTAGAGGTTTAAAACATTCTTCTAGCTGGGTTAAAGAAAGGATGTATGAAATACTGATCAAACAAACCTGACAACTATAATTCTGGAGTGAATTACTTTCCATAATTGGCTGAACCACAAGCTCTTTCAGTAAAAGTAGTACTGCTTGAATCCACTGCAGGCTCTTTTAGTGCTCAGAACCCAGTACAATGCTCTGATTGGTTGAGAAGCGTTCTGTGCTGTTATTTCACCATAACATCACAAACACTATCACTCCACTGAGACGCTGTTGCTAAGCAACGACTTTGACAGCTGTAGGAGACGCTCAAGCCATTTGAACGCTTTTACTTCTTACTTTGCCACAAAGAGAAAATGGACACGTTTTCTCATTTGAGCTCTCATTTGACCGACAGCCGATTTGGTCAGACTCTGAAGATGAGGCTACACTAAATTCCCAAACTGTCAGTTTGTCTGTGTGGAGCTGGAGAACGAACTGCCGGCTGTGCAGCGAGTGGGCGGAGCTCGTTACTCTGACGTAGCAACAAGCTGCTCGTTAAGGAACTATAATTTGGTGAAGGAACTGCGAACATTAAAACATATTAAACGCCGCGTTCACGGCCCAGTTTATTAATGTATTACTGTATTTATTTAACTGTTGTATAAAAGCAGTAGAACACTCGAGGAGTGTGTTATCGCCAATAACATCACGGCTGTGATGATCTACGGCGACCAAATCACAGCCGTGATGTTATTTCGTGATAACACAACCTCTCGTCTTCTATTGCTTAAATAAATAAAACTTCACTACAAAAACAAAAAGTGCCACACAAAGGTTCCGCTTTGCCAGTGGTGTCGCAGTGCTTTTGCACAGAAGTAGCCACACATGCACAAAGGAGCCATTCTTGCTGCTTTCTCGACTGCTACGCCACAAGAATCCTAGCCGACACATCGCTCAACTTTCCCAAAAAAGTTCTGTTCATGTGTGAACTTCTGTACATGAACCCTTGCCGTAATTTTGCAGGAAGTGAACGTTCGAGTCAATCTTACAAGTATGTCGACTCCAATTTGCACTCGCACTTCACCCCTTCCTATTTAACTACCATTAAAATGTCAATGTATAATGGTATGTGTGAATTGGCTTCACAGTCAGATACAGCCCAGAGCCATGCTCTGTGTTGTTATTGTTATTGAGTGTTGCATCTGTAATTACGAAACCTCCCCTTGTAAAATGAATCAAGCGCAAAGTTTTCCCTACGAAATTGGACCCTCGAATATAAAAGAGCATCACTTCTTTAACAGCTACTAGCGCTGCTCTGTAGGCGACCCTGCCAGTCTGCAGTGACAGCAGAGGAGGGTAAAGTTCAGCTCCTCACTGCTGGGCTTTAGTTACATTTAGGGCATCATATGCCTTCAAAGAGGGGCAATTATTTATTATCGCCCTCCCCTAATTCTTCAGTGATATGAAGCTGAAGTCAGATATTCACCAGCTTCTTGTTCGAATTTTCACGTTCCACCTTAAACGGTGCAGCATTTCTGACACCTGAGGCACCAGAATGTAACTCCTGCACATTTATGGTGGAACGGGAAATTGCTCTAGCCAGCTACAGGGACATCAGCATAGTACCAGTGATTTTTCTATTATTGTTATAAAGAAAAGACCATAATACGCTGAAAAGACTCCACACTAAGATAATACAATGATCACTAATTTTTACAGAGAAAATTCTCACATTTGTGGGTTTCTTTGGTCTCTTGTTCAGCCATCTTGACAGTTTTCATTTTTTCTCATATCACTCTGCTTGGAGGGTCATGTAGCCCCAACACTTCGCCCTACCCCTCTATCTCAAGAAGAGTTGGGACACCCTACCTCTAGACATGAACACGCAAAAAGTGGTAAGGGCAAGTGGTGAAATGGGATT